TTTTTTTTTGTTTGCAAGTGACTTTTAATCCTTTCAAGATGGGGCACAGGTGAAAGGCCATGTCATCTTGTTTGTTGACTTGCATTCAAAATTTTATTGAACTACTATTTATGTCAGTATGTTTGGTATCAAACTGTAGATTATAATTCAAGTTTTAGAACTATGCATTACTCATTCAATGATGAGGAACCCATTTTGAGACTAATAATGCAGATATTGACAAGCTAGAATACAAAATAAGAAGGTCTTATATTTTCTGTTTGCTAAGATATTGCTCACGTAAAAAATCAAATACAGTGGCACCCTGCTCACCTCTTTCCATTTCTGGAAACACTCCCTCATATACACTTCTATATATGACCTGAATAACCAATTGGAAGCTCAGAATGCCCCCTAGGGGTTTTCTCAGCCTTTCTAACATACCTAACACCATTCCTTTCTTTTGAATCAAGATTTCATTGAGGTAGGTTGTGTCTTTACTCTGCTCGAAATTTAATATTTTTTTTTAGATCCAAATACAGCCGAGTTACTAAGATTGATGAATTATACTAGAATTCTATGGTATTGATGTAGTAATTTATGATTTTATAGTTATTCAAAAGTATGTATATATAAAACCTAAAAAGGTATTTTGTTTCATATTCTCCACGGGCAATTTTTTTAAAGACTTAGCAACCTACGTCAAGCAGCAACCGAGTACAAAGATCACAACTAGAAGAGATAATTGTTTGCTTTACTTCCTTATTTACTGTTCTATGTTTTAGGAAAAATAACTTTAAGAACTTATTTCAAAATAGCAATAATCTATATACATATATAATGTATGATAATTGAAATATCACTGTATTTTACAAAATACTAGTCAACTAAAACACAGGCAAGACAAGTTACTTTCTACAGACCAAAGGTCAGTTTTATGTTATTGTTACGTCTCTGGTCGTTTGTTAACTTCTCGTAAAAATTCTTTCCAAAGAACTTCAGAGATACAAGTCCTTTCTTAAATTAAACTAGTTTATTCTTTCTCAATATAACTTTGCAATACACAGAATTTCCACAGGCACTTTAACTTAAACACACGCTATAATTCACAACAATTCATGCACTTTACTTATGGTCACTACTGCTCACTTAACTCAATTATCTGGCTCTATATCTCTCTTCAATCTGCTATATTCCTCAGCTTTATTTGCCGGGCTTATATATTAAAATAGAGGGTGCCTAGAAAAGACTAGAGTTGCCAGGAACAGTCATAATCCTTCTAGAAACTCCAGTGTGCATGCTTCCAGCATCACATGACTTCCGCTGTCATAACATTATTGTATGCAATAACATGATTGCATGTGAGCTGCGTCATTGTAACTTCTCTATTGTTAGCCTGGCACAGGTGAAAGGACAATATAATAAAATAATAAATATATATAAATGTATAATGTTATGAGATTTAAGCTATTTCATCTAAACATTTATGATTTGTTGTTATTTGTTTATAAAATATACTCAACAAGTAAATGTTACATATCTGGATTTATACACAATATATATGTTTTCAATGAAACTACAGTCAAGAATAGGAATGCTCTTCTCCAGTGTTTATGATACATAATTTAGTATAAATTGGATAGAAATCAGCACAAATAGCATTTCCAATACCGTCTAGCAACTACTTATGGTAATACGTGATAGCATACAAGTATATTTGGGTAAATCGATAAAATTACAGCAATAAATAGTTTGCTCAGATTAACTCTGGCAAACATTTTTTTGAAACATGGAGGGGGTGCCTAAGTTATTGGGCAAACCACAGAAGTGGGTAAATAGGAAATTTAAACTTAGATTTAAAAAATGTAAATCATAACTTACATTATCATACACAGTTTGTTCATGTACATTGATAATAAATTCTTAACTGTAACTGAAAAGTTCATCACATGCATAGTTTGACACATCCATAGAGTTAAACACACATTTTCTTTTTGGATGTATTCAGTTACTTTCTTAAATTAAGAAATTTAGCCTTAGATAATATAAAGCATATTATTATCTATGTTTTCATGCCAAGTTTATTGATGTCAAGTCAATGAACATATATTAATAATGAAATTTCATGAAGAAAAAAAAAGGTCACGACATACATTGGGTTAAACACAATTTTTTTTTATCCATAACGTCAAACAAAGTTGTGTATATTTTTTGTAAAGGTTATTTAGATCCAGTTTCTTACTCCTTAACATAATATACTATGTTTAGTCATCTTCATCACTCTTTTGTATGTACACATAGATGTTGATCTTATTTAATTATTTAATGTTTTTTCCTGATTAATTAAAATGTTTGCATTCAGTTCATTGTTTCTTCACATGTAAACATATTAGGTAATGATTAGTCCTAGTTAATTACTCCTTAATGTGTACACTGACGATAATGTTTTGTTATAGTTAATTACTCCATGTACAAGTGGATTACTTATTGCTTTGTTGGATCTGACTATGGCTGTACAAGTGGATTACTTGTTGCTTTGTTGGATCTGACTATGGCTGTACAAGTGGATTATTTACTGATTTGTTGGATCTGACTTTGGGTGTACAAGTGGATTACTTACTGTTTTGTTGAATCTGACTATGGCTGTAAAAGTGGATTACTTACTGCTTTGTTGGATCTGACTATGGCTGTACAAGTGGATTATTTACTGATTTGTTGGATCTGACTTTGGGTGTACAAGTGGATTACTTACTGCTCTGTTGGATCTGACTATGGTGGCACAAGTGGATTACTTGTTGCTTTGTTTGATCTGACTATGGCTGTACAAGTGGATTACTTACTGCTCTGTTTGATCTGACTATGACTATATAAGTAGATTATTCAATGCTTTGTTGGATCTAACTGATCAATGTATTCAAGTTGTGCACACTGAGTCACCTACAGTTCATACTGTTTAGTGAAATGTTCCTCTGAGGTAAGTGTCTGATATGAATATTATATTTTGTTAAAATGTATGTGATTAAAACCAGTTTTATTTAGATTTTTAAAATGTAAAATGTGCTTTCATATTTATCTTATGATTTATCTCCTTTCCCAGTAGAAAGTTAACCCATTGGCTGTCGCATATACAGGTTGGACTTTTTTCTTCTGTACACCACGGCTGTGTCAGTTATGATATTTCATTTTAAATTTCCAACATGAAGGGGTATTTATTAGTGTTGAGAAACTCTATCCACCCAAGCTTTGTTATCAAACAATGATTTATTCATCTCACCAAAATCTCACATACCACACAGCTGAAGTACACATAATAAAAAACGTCCAACCTGTATACGTTAAGATAGAGTGAATGAGGTAAAGTTCCATAGTAACTGTATATGATCTGGTCAGTTAATAGAAACTTACAGTATGTGTGAATAAAGACATTATATTTGTCTGCTTATGTTTCTTGTTTTCATAATGTTTGTAATTATTTTCTACACTTTTATGATAATTGATACTTTACTGGTGGATGTTAGTGTATCTATAAACCATACAGGAAGTTATACATTGTATGATACTTGAATATGATTTAGTGAAGCATGATTTATATTCAGACTTGTTATAGACAAATCTACATTATTTATACTTCTACCAACAGGAGAAGCTGGTTCCTTACAAGAAAGATCTTTACATACCATTTTGAAGTCTGATTTAGTAAATGTTGAACAAGAAGAGAAGTATGAAGCAACAGAAAAAACCGAGGTAATTTGTAGACTAAAGATTTTATAGTTTTATTATTGAAGTGATCATATAGCTGTAATGATGTCTTTTGGGGTTTAATTTGACTAGAACTGAATCATTGTTCAGATGTTTGTTGTTAGCTGCCCACAGATGTTACAATGTTTTATTGTTTCATTAAAGTTGACTTTTGACAGATTTCACACCTGTTACTGTATCTATACATTAAAACTATATTTTATCACCTGTGCTTTTGGACTTCTTTAAAAGAAAGATTAAAAGAGTTTTAGTTTATATTACACATAACTAACTGTGAAATGTTAGTTTTATATCATTACATTTTACATTAGTGAACTGGAGATGATATGTATTTGTTTACTTTCGTGATAACATTAGTTATTATTTTTATTAACCTGTTGAATATGTTGTTTGGTTTTAGAACATATGTGTCACGGTGACAAAAGAACAGTATGATGATTTACCACAAAGTGAGGTTATTTCAAAGTTCAATGAAAGTAGTGATGATGATTTGGATAGTTCAAAATGTGATGTTATCAATGTGAAAACAGAAACTGAATTCAAGGAAGATTTACAGTATATTGAATCTAGGTTAGATAGTACATCTGGTAAGTAGAAACATCTAAAAACTGTATATTAACAAACACTGGCTTAAGAGAAATGGTTGAATTGTTGGAAATCTTTTAGAAGTAATTAAACTGTGTAATACTATTAATTTAAAGTGTATCAGATATTTGTATCTTGTGTTTTTATACCTATACTTCTGAATTATTGTGTGGAATATTTTGAAGTGAAAAATAGAATGACAAAAAAAATGGGAAAGACATTGAAATTAATACTGCCTGGAAAAGGACTTTTACTATGAAATCATAAAGCAATGGAAAAAATGTTAACATGATGTTTGAATGGAAATGGATTGAAAGAACAATCATTGTTACTATAAAATGAAACAAACTTTTTAACTTAGCAGATTGTCTTATCTTCATAATTCTTTATGTATACACTTTGTGAATAGTGGTTGGAACCAGTTTTTCTAGAATAGCATTTCAACATGTACAGAGAATGTGCTGCTGTGAGAAGTGGTTGGAACCAGGTCTTGTAGATTAGAATTTCACCATGTACAGAGAATGTGCTGCTGTGAGTAGTGGTTGGAACCAGTTTTTCTAGATTAGTATTTCAACATATACAGAGAATGTTGTTCTTTGAGTGGTGGATGGAACCAGTTTTTCTAGATTAGTATTTCAACATGTACAGAGAATGTGCTGCTGCGAGTAGTGGTTGGAACCAGTTTTTCTAGATTAGTATTTCAACATGTACAGAGAATGTGCTGCTGTGAGTAGTGGTTGGAACCAGTTTTTCTAGATTAGTATTTCAACATATACAGAGAATGTGCTGCTGTGAGTAGTGGTTGGAACCAGTTTTTCTAGATTAGTATTTCAACATATACAGAGAATGTTGTTTTTTGAGTGGTGGATGGAACCAGTTTTTCTAGATTAGTATTTCAACATATACAGAGAATGTTGTTCTTTGAGTAGTGGATGGAACCAGTTCTGAAGATTAGTATTTCAACACATACAGAGAATGTTGTTCTTTGAGTAGTGATTGGAACCAGTTCATGTAGATTAGTATTTTAACATGTACACAGAATGTGCTGCTGTGATTGTGTTTCTTTTATTTCATTTTTCTTAACGCTCACATCCTCCAGATTCTAGGATATTGCTGGTGTAATGAACCTCAAGTCTCCTAATTTTTCATGCTGAAACGAAACATTACACCGTTTATAGTAAAGAGAATCTGTCCTAAACTTGATAACAGAATAACCAACATATTGATAAACAATTTCATTTAGTGAAGGTTTTGGAATTTCTAGATATTTAAGTTGCATATAGATCTCTTGAAGAGAAACTTTAATGTATTGATGTCAGTCAACATGTTGAGGACAAAGCGTTAGAAGATTTTGTGATATTTATCTAGCTAAAGTAAGAAGATATTTCTTAAAATTAATTAAGTTGGTAGTTGTTACACTTGTCCATTATAAACCTTTCTTTTCAATGCGTTATACTCATTTTGTTTCCAATAGTAACTTGAACTACAGAGTAAAATATTTATAAAGTGTGAAACTACGAAAATTTTATCATAATTGTTTTTACCTTTAATATTTTGATAGTGATATTTTTTTATGGTATTAGACTATCAAAATGAATTATGTGTTACAAACCCCTAGTCTCTTGATTCTTCATGCTGAAACATGTACTTGTATTAGACCTTTAAATTTAGCTTAAAAGCTGATCACATAAGGTAATGTATGATACTAACTGTATTAATTATGTTTTGTTACATCATATATTTTGATCTTAGATATAAAGACCAGTGTGAACATCTGTTGTGGAAGTCAATTTCCTGGTGATGATGTTTTAAGCCAAGAAGATATTTTTACAGATGTCAACAAATGCCCGAAAGTAGACAATGGCATATGTGGAGAAACAAATTTAAATGGAAGTAACATAAAACAATCTTATATACCTCAGGATGGTGATAAACCTTACAGTTATATAACATTTGAAAAAGAATATGTAACAGTTGAAAACCTAAAACAAAGTAAGAGAATACACATTGGGGAGAAACCTTACAGTTGCCTGGTTTGTGGAAAACACTTTCAAACAAATAGTGGATTGAAAAAGCATGAAAAAATTCACAATAAGGTGAAACCTTACAGTTGTGTGGTCTGTGGAAAAGACTTTAGAACGAATACTGAATTAAAAATACATCAAAGAATACATACTGGGGAGAAACCTTACAGTTGTGACTTTTGTGGTAAACAGTTTGGAAACAATTGTAACTTAAAAAAACATGAACGTATACATACTGGGGAGAGACCTTACTCTTGTGTTGTATGTAATAAACAGTTTACAACAACTAGTGCATTAAAATATCATCAAAGAATACACACTGGGGAGAAACCTTATAGTTGTGCCATTTGTGAAAAAGACTTTAAAAGAATTGGGGAATTAAAAATGCATGAAAGAATACATACTGGAGAGAAACCTTACAGTTGTGCAATTTGTGAAAAAGGCTTTCGAACAAATGGTGATTTAAAAATGCATCAGATGATACACACTGGTGAAAAACATTACAGTTGTGACTTTTGTGGAAAACAGTTTGGAAGTAACTGTAACTTAAAAAAACATGAACGAATACATACTGGGGAGAGACGTTACACTTGTGAATTTTGTAATAGACAGTTTACAACAAATAGTGCATTAAAATATCATAAAAGAATACATACTGGGGAGAAACCTTAGAGTTTTGCTATTTGTGGAAAACACTTTCAAACAAATAGTGGATTGAAAAAGCATGAAGAAATTCACAATAAGATGAAACCTTACAGTTGTGTAATTTGTGGGAAACACTTTAGAACAAATGCTGAAATAAAAATACATCAAGGAATACATAATGGAGAGAAACCTTACAGCTGTGACTTTTGTGGTGAACAACTTGGAAATAATTGTAACTTAAAATACATGAACAGATACATACTAGGGAGTAACCTTACACTTGTGTTGTATGTAATAAACAGTTTACAACAACTACTGCATTAAAATATTATAAAGGATACATACTGGGGAGAAATCTTACAGTTGTGTAGTGTGTAATAAATAGTTTCAAAAGAGTAATGTATTGAAATTTCATAAAGGAATACATACTTGATAGAAACCATACAGTTTTGCTGTTTGTGAAAAACTGTTTGGAACAAATAATGAATTAAACATTTTTTAGATAACACACACCCAGGAGAAAACATACTGTTGTCTACTGTGTTGTGAAGAATTTGAAAAAAACAATTACTACTACTGAATATGGTAGTTGTTTAAAAGTTGTTGAACCACAAGTGACAAATTAAGGTGTATAGATCTATCTTTGGTGTGTTTTTGATGCCTGTGATTGTAAATTATTCTTTACTTGTGCTTGACATGATAAAGTGACAAAAAGAAATTAAAAGATGTTAAAATTAAACTTGAATGAAAATGGATGGAGAGAACAGTTACTTTCCAATATTGGTACTTTACCTCTTCCCACAGAAATAGCTATTCTCGTTTAATGCTGCACTGTATATGGAAAATTATTTTTGCATACCACAAGCCTTGATGTCCCACATACCTCATGTTCAATGTGGCTCAACCATGTTTCACATGTAAATCATCATGCAACAACCAGTGCAACACACCCTTCTGATGCATAGGACTTTCTCTATTCAATTCTACTGAACAATCATTTCTAGTTTGGCAGTACTCATGTCAAGTTGTTTTTCATTTGGCTTTTTCTTAGTTGTTTTTTTATTTAACTTATTGCATTTTTTAAGTTTTTTGTCATGTTTATTGTGGTGTTAGTAATTTCTTCTGAAGTGGAATTATTATTCTAATGTTTCATGAATATAACTTTTTTTTCTAGATTTCATTTATTTTGTTTTGGGCTTGATTATTCATCTTTAACAATGAATTCTGAAGTCCAAGTTATCACTATATCCCATCAGTCAATATACTATCTGTGGTTTGTTCATCACTGGGTAGTGTATCAATTTTGTGTCCTATCCTTCAGGCTTGCTTCTATAGAAACCATTATCACCTTTGGTAGAGTGCGTATAAGGTTTCTTCAGTGGACACTGCACAACCAATGGAACCTTGTGTGAGATCTCTTGGATGGTTTTCTTCCACTTTCCCTGGTCAACTATCTGAATTGGTGGTTGGACAAAGCCCACATGTCAGTGAGTGTTCCACTTCCTCCCCCTCTATCAGATTTGTGTATCTTCATGGATGATTTCTTCCACAGATGAGGGGCATGGGTTCATCAGAAGAAAGCCTTGGTTTATGGTCTTTAGCCAAGAGGTCTTACCATATCAATATTCTGGAACTTCTGGCCATATATTGTGCTTTGGATCATTTTCTTTATCTTGCCAGAAATCGTCTGGTCTTGATCCATTCCAACAATTCTATATTTGTACCTTATATCATCACCAAGGTGGTACCCATTCTCATTCCCTCTGTGGTCAAACCTTGAATCTCCTTTTTTGGGCCCACACAAATGTTATTCATCTTGTATGTCACGTTCCAGGTGCATTCGACCTTCTCGCAGATCATCTTTCCTGATCAGACAAAATTTATCCAATGGAGTGATCTTTAGATCCTTGCATATTCCAATGGCTATGCATTTGGTGGAGTATGCCTTACCTAGATGCATGTGCCACATCCCTCAATACCAAGTTACCTCTGTGCTGTTTTTCATCCACTTACATTGACTGTCGATGCATTCAGCCATGATGGGACCAATAAGTACCTTTATGTGTATCCTTCCATCTATCTCCTTCACAGGGTGATTTCAATCATTCACATCATTCTATTTCATGTACTCCTGATTGCTCCTTACTGGCTGGCACAACTATAGTTTCAGTGGCTGCTCCAGCTTCAGTCTGCTTCACCATTACCTTTTCCTCTTACTCCATCCCTTCTATGTTAACCTTGGTCACTGGCATTTCATTCTGCCCTTCCTTCCCTCCATCTTCATGCCTGATTTTTATCCAGTTTTTAGCTTGTTCCATTTGCCCTTCCTCTATAGATGTATATCAACATAAGCGGAATATTTTCTGCTGTTGGTCTTTGTGTTGGAGATTTCATCCGCTCAACTTACTGTTCCTCTTATAGATTTCTTCACTTGGCAGTTTGATCAGAGAACATCTGTCTCCTAGATTATGGGTTATCAAGCTGCCTTATCCTACATTTTTGGTTTTTCCTGGTATAGTACAGTTTTTACCTCTCATACTCTCTCACTGTTGTTGAGTTTCTTCCATATTAGTCAACCTACTCAGTGTGCAGTCCTTCCAGATCAGGATGTCAATGTGGTTCTTTGCTGCCTTACTTTACCTCCATTTGAACCTTTGAGCTGTTGCTCAGTTTGACTTATTCCTTAAGACTTATTTCCTTCTCCTTTTGGTCTGTGGATGTCATTGTTCAGATTTATTTGCCATTGACATTCATGTACTTTGTATATCATTCCATATGTTCTTTATCCAGATTGATCTTTCCTTCCCAAACCTATGGCGGCTCATGAGGGTAATTCCTCCTTCTCACCAATTTTCCTTCCTTCCATTTCTCACCCATATTCCCAGTCTGATCTCACCTTTGTCATTTATTGGAGAAAATTCCTGTATTGGGTATGTAGACCACACCACATACATTCATCTCTCACTATCTGCATCGGATAGCTGTTTCTTCCTCGTTGGGTTATTATCTTCCACCTTTTGCCATTTTCCAGATTTCAGTGAGATTGTGACTGGTTATGCTATATTTCTGTATATATACTTCTCATTTTTTTAGGACTTTGTTTTCTATATGGATCCCACTCTTTGGTGAGTGGTGCCTCTCCAGGTTTACTTAAACTAGTCAAATCTACACTGTAAAGCCATGATAACAATTATACTTTATATGGCCACAAAATGCATGCTGTTAAGATGGGGTGTTCCACAAGATTGCTTGTAGATTTTCCTTGCAGTATATTTCTTTCATTAATATACTCATTCTGGACCATACTCACCCATGGACTTCATGGGTAAAATAGAAGGGGATAGCTGTTCATCCCTGCCATTTCTTAGATTGAATAAATCAGGTGTGGTCTTCTTTTCAAAATAGGGTTTTCGAGGTCACCCATTGCACTGTATACAGTCTTGATTTTCCTTCAAACTCACCATTACATTTTCTCTGTCTCCCCCCCTTTATTCCAGTGGAGTATGGGAGCTCTTACCACTTTCCATTTCCAAGCTACTGGAGTGGTGGACCATAAAGGCTTATCTAAGTGGTTGTTGTAGCTTTAAAATGAGCCATCAAAATTTGCAGTTCACTCCTTCAGTTGGGACCACTCATTCTATCTCCATGTAGATGTTGGTTCACAGTGGCTGGGTCTTGGATTCAGAGCTGTACTAATCACCATAGTAGGATATTTCACCACACAAGGACATCTTTCTTCCAGTTGTTTGGATGTTGGGTTCCTGTATCGATACCATTTTATCACTTTGCTGTGATGTGCTCTGTTCACAGATTGGTGGGTATGATATATCCCTCTGGTCTGCTAAATTTGAGGTGAAGATAGTATGATCACCTTTCCTACCTACACCAAATGGCTGGTTTGGATTGCAGTTGACTTGATACCAGTATGATCCTCTTTCCTACCCCCATATGGATGTCGGTTCCCAGTGACTGGGTTTTAGATTGTAGTTGACTTACCAATGGTATGATCCTCATCCAACTCTCACATGGATGTCACTTCCCAGTGGCTTGATTTTGGATGCAGTTGACTTGCTGTGTATGGTACCTTGAGGCACATCCTTTTTACTCTTACCCATGTTATTGTCATCAAAGGGATTTAGATTCAGATATTAGGTGGTTCAAATCCCAATCCACCAATTGTTCTCTCCCTTTTGGATGTGTTTTCATTTTCTGCCCATTTCTGTGACACATCATTCCACCCTGAGCAATGAGTATACCTGGTACAGAAGTGGTGAAGTCTCCCACATATGATCCTCTACCATGAGGATCTACCCTTTTTGGGTGTTCTTTGGATGCTTTTGAAAAAATGCTTCTTTCTTTCCCACATACCAATCCCTCCATCTATTTCATGTAGGATCCTAGCTATTTCTGTGAGAAAAGGTAAGGTACTCTATTGAAAGTTATAATTTTCCTATACTGAAAATAAAATATATTTCTGATAAATACTTAAATATTCTCACCTTTCCACTGAAAACTGGTGCTTCCAATACTTAAATTGATAGTTTGGTATAATCGATTAGAGGGAATAACATGCATCAGGAGTGTATGTTGCACTCATGTTGGTGGAAGGTTATCCTATGATGATTTATATGCAAGACAGAGTTGAACCACATTGATCACTGAGTACAGAGTATGTTAGAGCTCAAGGCTTGTGGCATTCCTAAAATATTTTCATATAGAGGGCAGTACTATAAGAGAATGGCTACTTCTGTGATAGGAGGTAAGTACCTATTTAAAATATATTTACAGTAAAGAGACATTATAACTGACAGTTTTTCTTCCTGATTTTCTTTTGTATAGACAGTGGGTATTGATTTGAACCAGTTTCTGTATATTAATATTTCAATATGTATTGAGAATGGACTGCTATGTATGTATGTATGAATTGGATTTAATTTTCTGAACACTTATAGCCCTCTGGATTCTGAAACTTAAATTATTTCAAACTACAAATCTCAATTTTTCATGTTGAAGAAAGAAATCATACAATTTCTAGTAAAATGTAAAGAATAACTAAAGTATTGTCTAAAGTTTGGTATTTGTAGATATTTAATTTGCCTATAGATCTTTTGAGTAAAAAGTGTAAAGTATTGATTTCAGTCAACATGTTAAGAGGACAAAGCATTAGAAAATTTTGTAGTATTCACCCATAATAAAGGAAATAGTGGTTGAAAGTAAAATTGGTTGTTGTGATATTATACTTTCATATTTCTATGGTTGAATTTATATACTGTAAACCTTTATGTAATGTGAACTTTTCATACCTCCACTTTATGTTTTCAATACCTGTTTTCAACTTGGGAGAAAAGTTTTATAAGTTATGAATGTATGCAAAATTTTGTCACAATTATTTTTACTTTAAATATATTGATATTTGTTGCGATTGTATTAAACCATTAAACTGAATTTAGAAATTCAAATAATGTATGATGCCTTGAACTGTTTCACAAAAGTATCAGAGACATGTGCTGTTTCTAACAAAAAAGCATAAACTAGCAAGGAAACTTGACAAATTTCTTTTAAGATTGAAGTGTCAATGGAACTGCACTCAGATCAGGGATGGAACTTTGAACCAACCTTGTTTGTGGAAATTTGTCAGATCCTTGGAATCAAAAATATCAAGACAAAAGCTCTTCATCCATCTTCTAATAGGATAATTGAGGGAAACAAACATACACTGTTATATCACTTAACTATTTTTGTGGATGAATATAAAATGTAAGATCAAGATTTTCTAATGTTACTAATAAGTTATTGTACAGCAGTAAGTGAAGGTAATGACTAACTGGGTAACCCCAGAGGAGAATTTGTCAGCAGAAAATCAAACTTGTGTTTGTGTTGAGACCCGTTCCAGAGGATCAATAAAATGGCCACTAAAGGATTCCCTTGACAACTGACCTACAGAGATCCACATCAACAGGATAGTCAGTATGTGTGCTATTAGCTCAGGAATAACTTCCAATTAATAAGACAGTAAATAGAAAAAGATACTAGAAGCCATCCCATCTGAATGACATAACCAAATAAAAAAAAACACCAAAAAGGCTTGTTGAATGAACATTCAGGATAGGGTTTATTTTTGCATTAGGATTGTTTAAAGGACTTAACAATCTAGAAAGGGTCAATTTTATAAGTTATATGTTCAATGTTATAGTTTGTTAGCTGGAGGGAGCTGCTGGTTCATAATGTTGATATGATGTAATGATCAAGAGACTGCAAAATGTCTAAAAACAAGGACACATTTATGAACGGTTGAGAGAGTAAATAGTGAATGAGTATTTAGTGATAGTTATTGCATTTGTTCTTCTGTTCAGTTATTGGTGAGTTGTGTATTTTATAACTTAACAAGGCTAGTCACTGAGTTAAATGTGCATCTTACAGTTTATATTGAAACATTGTCCAGTACACTTGCACCTTGAGTGAACAAGGCTTTAGAAAGATCATAGTAAATTAAAAAGAATAATTTTTTTTATCACTACATGATCCTTCAGTATAGTAGAATACTTTTCAAAAATACATTCTTAACCATCTACAAGATATCCATTGCTGGAGAAATACATATTAAAATATACAGTATACATGTTTATTAAAGGTATCCATAACTTGCTAACCTGTATTACCCATTCTTTCAACCATCATACTGGGAATGATAAGGTGAAATGTGAATCTTCACCAGAACTAACAGACTTAAGTAAATAGTTAGCTGTTGAGCTATTCTACTTGGTAAGTGTAAATTTCTTCCAGTGCTATCTTGTTCTTGGTTAACATGTCTCAAAACAGTGCACTAGTGCTTTGACCTAGAGATAAGTTTTGGCATCTTGCAATCAATGCAGTGATGGGCTCATGAAATCTCTGGGAATTTACTAGTGATATCTAGGACATTCCAGTCAGGAGAACCCCAACAATTCTCTGTTTGAATTTACCATGTCATGTTTGTTTATGTGCAGCACACACCTTACATAATTCACACCAGCCCTGAACATCTCAATTAACTCTTGGCTAGAAGCACTGCTGTCAGTTGTAAACACAAGTGTGGTTTAACCTTGGTACCTTCCATTCCTTTGTATTGTGCAAGCACTCTTGTGGCACTATGCTTCATGGGCTGATATCTGTACAGCATGCTTTCTTAAACTTGAATTGCTTATACAGATGACACAGGTTATGTGTGTCCATGTTACACCCTTCTACTAGTGCTGGCTGGACCGGACCTTGCTGAATAACAAGAAATGATTAATTTAGATTTGAAATCTTCAATGGCTCAGCCCAGAGCTTCTGAAGAATCAAATTTGGTTTCCTTCTTTTGATGGAGTCAATAACGTTTATCATCTGCTTTCAATAAGACCAAAATGGACATGGTTTCACAGAACACATGGTGTTGAGAGTCAGAACTTGATTATATGTGCATTACCATATTGTGGGCTCGGGCAATGAATTGTTACATCTTATTTTTGCAACACCATCATCTCTTCCAGATTTTCAAAATTTATTAACTACTTCAGCAAAGCATGATTCACTCTGGGCTAGTCATTGGAGCTTCGACTGTACTTCTGAATACACCAAATTTATTTAATTGAGGATTGCTGTGGCAAATGGAGTTCACAAGTCACTAACTCAAGTTAATTTATGGTTAGACTAAAGAAACGGATTCTGAGACTTGTATTCAACAAAATACATCCAAGTTTATTAAGTCTTTACACATACTTCCAGTAACAGTAGTTAACATTTAAGAATTTGTTAACTCTTAACAGTCTAAACCTGACTTTCAAGTGAAACACAATTGAACAATACAGTTCACATATAAAATATTTCACTCTTATAATCATTTACTTCTTTTATATGATTACTGTATACATTAATTGACTAATAGAGATAGAAATTCTATACTTACAACAAATTTGGACTGGTGTATCTCTGTAGATTGGATAACTTAATATTCATGGCTGCTTGTTCAGAACTATCACCAGCTTTTGGGAGAACTTATTTTTAGCTCCAGACATGAGTTTTTATATTATATTTTCTCTGTATCCTTTTGAATTTCCAAATAATTGTTACGACAGCAGAAGTCACATGACACTGGTAACATGTGATGAGTTTTTAGAAGGATCATGAAGGCTCGAGTGTTTTCCAGATGCCCTCTGATTTTGTATATATAAGCCCGGCAACTAAAGCGGAGAATAGAAGTGACGGCATAGAGAATTGCAGATAGAGACAGATAATCGAATCAAGTCAGAAGTAAAGTGCGTGAATTGTTATGAATTATAGCGTGTGTTTAACTTAAAGTGACTGTGGAAATTAAGTGTTTTGTAAACTTGTATTGAGAAAGAATAAACTAGTTTTATTTAAGAAAGGACTTGTATCTCTGAAGTTCTTGGAAAAAAAATTTACAGGAAATTAACAAATGACCAGAGACATAACAAATTGGTGTCAGAGAGTGGGATGGAAAATAAAGATAAAAAAAGAAGAAGATCGAAACGGGAAGTGGAAAATCAAACTACAGCTTAGCAGATTTGATGGCACAAACAAGAAGAACAAGAAGAGAGATAACAGCAGTGGCAAGAAAACCTGCAACGGTGGCAGCTCGAACAACAAAATAAACAAGAGAGATTACAGCAATTGTTGGAGGAAAAAGAAAATAAACAAGAAGAGAGACTACAGTAGTGGTTGGAGGAGAAAGAAAATGAACAAGAAGAAAGACCACAGCAGTGGTTGGAGGAGAAAGAAATTAAACAAGAAGAAAGTCTCCAATAATTGAGAAAAATCCAGCACACACAAATGGAAAAGATTAGTGAATATCAAAGTGAATTAAATACATTAAAGTATGATTTACTGTCTTTTACACAAGGAGGATATATTAGCCACAGACCTAATCAGCCTCAGACAACGGGAAGCCCCTTCCAGACCCTGCAGTTAAACCCTAATGCACACATCATCAGTCCTGTCAGAAGTCACATTCCAGACATGGGTGTCAGCAATAGGGGTGATCTAGTACGAAGGAAGCCACAAGAATTCGAT